GTCACATTGGAGCCTGCGGAGGTGGAGGGAGCAAGATTGGAGCAGGACAAAGCAGGGACCCCCATCCCCTCTCCTCCCCCATAGGGGTACCTGGCCCAAAGTCGATGGTGGCGTAGAGCCCCTGCAGCGTGCCGCAGCGCAGCTCCTCTGCCCGCGTGCCATCGGTGGTGAAGAGCAGCACCTCGCTCCCCAGCAGCGCCCGAAAGGAGCCCAGCAGGTGCCGCAGGTACCCATAGTCGCAGGCATAGTAGCTCCCATACTCGTTCTCCACCTGTGAGCAGGGCAGAGGCTGGTACCCAGCATGCGCGTGGCAGGCCTGCAGATAGGTCCCACCACCCACTGGGACCAGCACTCAGCTCCCCCCTTCCCTCCTGACATCATTAGATGTCGTGACAGGCCCCAGCTGGATCCTGAGAATGACCTTCCAGCCCCATCAAGGCCCCCATCTCTGCCACTATCCTTCAAACCACAACCAGGGTGGTGGCGAGTACCCAAGTCCCAGCCCTTCGATTTAAGCCCAGGTCCAGAGATCAGGAGGGATTGATCAAAGAGTTGTGCCAGAGGAGGTCATGATGTAGGGGATACAGGTGGCTTTTTGGGGCACATCCAAAGACAACCCAGAGCAGGGCAGGGGGCTGGGTACCACAGCACCCTACCTGCACACTGATGATGTTTCCCCCATGCTGGTACAGGCGTGGCTTGATTTTGGGTAGCAGGACATGGAGCCAGGAGTCCACAGCTGCCAGGTAGGCTGGGGGGACAGAGGGGAGCTCAGCTTGGCAGCAGCATCCCCCCCCAGCCCACCCGCAGCCAGCCCTGCCAGGAGGAGGATGGAGCAGACGGGGCAGGGCTAAGTGTGATGGGGAAGTGGAGGTGGAGGACAAACTATGGGGCTACCAAAAGATGGAGAAGAGGATGGAAGGGACTGGAATACGCGTGGAGAGAGACCAGCATGCCAGGGCTGGCACCAGGCTGTAAGGACATGGTGGCCAGAGCCCCGTGCTGAGGCTTACCCGGGTCGGA